GCATAAGAGCATGATACATGCAGCTGTATTTAAGCAAACACATGCAGAGCCTAGTACTGAAGTACAAGGGGAGAATAATTCCTCCAGAGCGACTTCTGTCCCTGCTGTTGAGGCTGTGGTAGCACTCCCAGGTAGCACTTGCCAGGCTGCTGTGTTTGGAAGTGGGGGGTGGGGGGTTCTAATTACAGATCCTTGTGGGTTTAAGAACCCCTCTGAGTTCTCCAGGGTGCAGCCTTGCCTTTCCCTGGCCTCTCTAGTGTGCTTCATGTGTACAGGCTATCATTGCTTCAAGGCTATAAGCAATGCTGGCTCTCCCTCCTCCTCCTCTCCCTCTCATTCCAAAATGCTAAGCATGTGCGTCCCTTGGGCAGTCTGGGTTTTGGGCCACATGCTAGTTGAAATACATGTACAGACTTTGCAGGGGCTCCAAGGTCAAATCATTCTTTGCTTTAGCTAGTACAAGAGACATATTTGTGTACCTACAGTAATAAGTGTTTACGTTAAGTGTTCTGCCTGTGTTTTCTTATCTTTGTGTAGTTTTGGGGGGAAATATGTTAGTTTTTCTCCATACGAGGATACTTCTTCTACAAGCTTTTAGCTGTAGAAATTGTACAGACTTCTGTCATCTCCAGTTCCATTTGCCACACAACTTTTGGTCACGTTTGTTACATTAATGATTGTACCAAGTCCATCTTAATTACTGCATCAGCTGAAGTCAAACCTGGCAATACTAGCATGTGCCATAGGACAGCCGTGTGAGTAGATAATGTTCAAGGGTTAACAACCTTTTCTTATTAGCCCTTCATCCCCACCCTTTTGAAGGTCAGTCCAAGACAGAAGTTAAACAGTAGAATATTTCATTTTCAAATTACTTTCAGCCTGCCACCTACCAGAGGAGGCAGTTTTAGATGGACACCATACACTATATAGATGCATTCTCTCAATCATCACACATGAGAGCTTCTGATGCTTCAATTTCAGGTTAAGACTGGCCTGAACATTAATGTGAAACAACAGGTGTGTTCAGGTAATGTGAAAATAATAACTCTTCCAAATGGTAGCAGGCTTTGTGGGAGGTGTTACATCAAGGAGAAGATGAAGAACACATTACTTTGGTTCCTCCTGTTGCGTGATCATAGTTTACAAGAGTGCAGACCTGCACGTAACATGTGAAGGCAGTTTCCTCTCCTGCAGAGCCAACACTACACAGACAATAGCTGTTCTGCCCTGGTGCGCGTGAGGTCTGCTCTGCCTTGGCAGGGAAGCAGCCTTAAATCCTGAGCACATTACTGCTACGTGTGCACAGGTACCGCATTGTGCAGCGCTCAGTGGTTGGTCTGATGGAAACTTTTCATGAAAAAATCTGGAAGATGTAGGCTAGCAGGCTACTGGGGCAGGGTGGTGGGAAGGAGTTGGAGGCAGAAAGGCAGCAGGGAGGGAGGAGTGGGAAACATGAACGCACCAGTGGAAGTGCAGCCATTGCAGGGGTTTGGGCAGGCCAAGTTGAAGAGGGCAGAGTGGGACCCAGTACATTACAGCTGTGCTGCAGCGTGGCAGCCCTTCACTTTACAACACATTGAGCATAACATAGGGCAGTCCTACTTCCCAGGTCACATCTTCTTGTGAGAATGCTGTGAAAATGAGCCACTGATTAGCTATTCTAGAGCCAGTGCACCTAGGTACAAGCAAATAACCATCACCAGGTCTCCTTGGCCAGAACAGCAGGAGCATCTGCCTGGAATTCCCAATTAGCTCTCTGTCTCTCTGCAAAGCTGCAAGCAGGGTGACCCCACACCTGGTTGAAATCAGTAAGTCCTGCTGCACTCAGGACTCAGCAGTAGCACAAAGGGTAATACAGTTGACAGGTAGCTGGCTGTTCCCAAGGCAATCCAGAACGGCCCTCAAGTGTTCAGTTTTACACTTGAGGATCCTCTGATTTTCATTTATTTTCATTAAGTAGCAAATAAACAGAAGCTGTGTTGCTGCGGTGCAAAGCCAAAGCTGTTTCCAAACCTCAAGTGGCCACATGCAGCTGGGAGGGGTGGTGGCCCTGCAGCCTAAGACCTGCCTACTTCATTTTAAAATTTGGAAATGTCCCCCTGAGGCAAATAAAAGGATATTTTATAAATATAAAACAAACACACCAAAAGGGGAATTTTAAAGGACATTTCAGGGCCTGAGCTTGAAATAGGGATGTAAATAGCTTCTGAAAACTGCCTCTAAGCCTTAAGCAACAGCAGACCCAGCTGCACCAGATCAGCATACCCCACACACAGCTGCCTGCACCTCCTGGGCCATAGGATGTGCTGGGGTAATGAATGAGCCTCCACTGGGGATTCGGCCCCCTCGTGCCAGGAGCTGTGAAGTCATGCCCAGCTCTACTCCAGGGAGCTTGCAAGCCAAATACAAGATGGGGACACACTGTGGCTGGGCATGCAGGAGGACAGCGTAACAGATGAGCAATGTTCTCCGTCCTTGGGGTGGGGAACAAAAGGCCAATTGAAGGCTGATTTTCATAGGAAATCTGTGCCAACATTATTTTTTTAACAAGTCTAAAAAAAAATATACACCTCTGGCACTTGCCAGCATCCTAACATGTCTTACGAGGAGAAGCAAAAAGATATGGCTGCAGCCTCCATGGAGCTGACACAAAGCCATTAATATTACTGAGGTTTCCCCATTCGTGCTTCCCACCTTGCTTTTTCCACATGGGGATCCCAACTGTAGCACCGAAGGAAAAAGTCTCACATGGAAGATGGAGCATCTGAAGGCTACACAGTACAGCGGGTTTGGCCCTATTGGTGTTGCTTGTGTACCTTGTTCATTAGCTGTGTATCCTGTTCCCATCTAAACCACTCCTCCAGTGTGTGGTGGGTGTGGCCAGCAGCAGCCTGGCAGCTTCAGTACAGGAGATGGGGACAGGGTGATGTAGACTAACAACTCACTTTCACATATGTGCTACAGCATAAGTAAATTCAAGAGTAATGATGAGTAAGACCATGGGTTTGTCTGGTAGATGCCCTGGGAGCATAGGCTGGCTCTAAATGAGCTTAGAGACATAGTCAAGGTTGTGGAAGATGAAGAAGATATCACAGCTGAGATGCCTGGGACTAGTCATCTCTCAAATCTGTGATGGTGAGGGGGAATCAGATATGCTTCAATGTGCAAATCATTTTTTCTCCCAAAGACATAACCACCACAACCTTCAATGGAGGCACTCTAACCTGCCCATAACAGCAAACGACACCATAATGTTTCCTCCTTTAGGATCCCAGTGCTCACACAATTGATCTATTCAGGCTTCATTCACTCCCAAAGCAAAGAACCCAATATATCCCTTACTGACAAAACAAGCCACATACCACTACAGCTGCAGGGTGGAACTAAAGAACAGGACTGTAATGGGCATGAGAAATAAAGGCTTTTCATTGAAACTACCCAGGTTTTGTTCAGTCTTGAGATAAGAGGGCTAAGGGGGGCATCATATCATGGCCTTCAGCTGTCCATTGGAGGGTACAGAGAAGATGGGGTCAGACTTTTCTCAGAAGGGAACAGTGACACAACAAGAGGCAACAGACACGAGGTGAAGCATCAGAAATTCCAGTTAGACACGATGGAATCACTGTGAGGGTGGTCAGAGACTGGAACAGGCTGCCCAAAGAGGCTATGGCTCTCCACCTGTAGCTCAACTGGACACAGTCCTCTGCAGCCTGGTCTAACAGGACCAGCTGTGAGCAGGGGCTGGCCCAGATGTTCTCCAGAGGTCCCTTGCAACTGAATTACTCTGTGATTCTTTGAATACTACCTGCCACTCACTGTGGCAATCACCCTGAGAAATACCATTACACAGTACATTTCATTTATTTTTCCCCGCAAATATCTAAGTATAAATCTCAAGGCAGGAAACACAAGCTTACATTACAGAAACAATGTTATTACACACCACCGGCAACCAGCGCCACGTGCAATCACATTATATATGGCCATATAGGTTAAGGCTGTTTCTGCTGATAATGGAAAGGAGCAAGAATCTGCAAAACATTTTCCAGAGGAGTGGTTGTCACTGCGCAATCACCACACCAGACCAAACAAGTACGGTGGGGGACACACAGGACATAGCAGTAACAGAGATGCATCAGATTGCGAGCAGAAGAGTTTTCTCCTTCATCTTTGATGACAATTCCTTCATCTTTGTGGACGATTCCTTCATCTTTATAGGGTTTGGTGCCTTGGGGAAGCTGGCTCCCCTGAGACTGCTCCCAGCACCCCAGCTGGGATTTGTTTCAGTGAAGTCAGGTTTTTGTGTTAGGTCAAGAATCTAAGTAAGGTCTCTAGATTCTGTCTGTGGTCTAAGGTGGGAGAGGCACATTCAGAAGACAATCCATCCCATTAACCTTAGACCCCTCTCTTACAGCAACATTCATTTGACTGACTTTAAATTATGGGGATATGGAATGAGATTAATCATGATCTAGAGGTGCCCACTCCTTCCCCTCGGCCAGGATGAGGTGTAAACCACAAGCTGAGAGGTGAGCATTGCCATTACAGATCTTTAAGGTGGTGGGGATTAGTCTCAGCCCAAGGGATGCCTGAGAGTGGTACAGGACCCACATCAGGGATGCCTTCTCCTGTGGCCCATTAAGCAGCCAGGACAAGGGGACAGGAAGAGCTCTGCTTCAGCTAAACAGCTGCTCATTGGGGTCCCCAAGTCTCAGTGTAAGGAAGGAAACTGAACATCTTTCCCAGGCATTTCTTGGGCTTTGGTGTTCCCCAGAGAGAGATTATGTTCTTCCTAGAGGTGGGCGGGCAGGAGCAGAGAGGAGAAAAATGACTCCCTCAAGGTCACTAGTGGTGCAGGGGGCAGAGCTGGGAGGAGAAAGACATTATTGTTCTCCAGCTCCAGCCTCTAACAGCTGCCAGCTCATGTTCAAATGATGGGGGCTGCAGAGATGCTTTTCAGACCTCTGCTTCTGAGATGAGTTCATCTGCAGGCCAGGTGCTTATATCCTTGTATCCGCACCTATCTCAGAGTCTCTTTCTGAGCTCGCTTTAACACTGCTTTCCTGTCCAGCAGCCTTCAGTTCATCCATTCTCTTGCCACCAGGTAGTCTTTTAGGGCAAGTGGGGAGATACCGAAACCAAGAGACTGCGCAGTATTTGGTGCCTATGCCAAACGGAAGATCATAGACCTTGGAAACGAGTTGAGAGTTGTCCACCTCTCCCTTGTGGCTGTTCTTCCACACCAGGAGCCCCCGCTCATTCTGTGTTCCTGCAACAGCAAACATGAGATCGTTATGTTTAAAACAGCAGGTGTTGTGAGCATAGGACTACTTTGAGAGCCTCGCACCCACTTCTCAAATCCCAGCAGACCCAGCACAACCTACAGATCCTTTGCACTTCAACCCTTCTAACTCCAAAGCTCTTTACAAAAATTTACTAACAAGCTTCTAGACAATACCCATCTTCCTGCAACAGCTTCCAGATAAGCAGTCTCCTCCACTGCTTTCCACGGGAATCAAGTATACCAAGACAGGTTTTCACAAGCCATGTGTCATCCAAGAACTGTTCAAAGCGGGGGTCATACAGTGCCAGGAAAGCAAGGCTGGATGTTAACTGCCCAGGTAGTGTGGAGTGGGGGAATAAGGTTTAGCTAGCAATTACTAGTCAGTCACAGGTGTTTCCCCTAGCCAAAGAATTGCTAAGTGCCTGTAATTGTTGCAGCGGCTGAGTCCCTCTTGGGAAAGGGAGTGAGCACACCTGGAAATTCTGCCTGGAGGAGCTGAAGATCAAGGGCTACAAGGAAATTAATGAGCCAAAAGGAGATTGGCTTTCCAAGAAGCTAAGAATCTGATTAACAGTGTCCTTTCTGCTCTTTTTCTGTAGCAGAAAAGAGGGTTTCCTCTCCTATTCTTATGCCATCCCGCCCCAGGCTCGATGAAAATCAGAGGCTCTTTGCTGTCTATGAGGGCCAGCTGCAGGTGCTATATCCTACTTTGGTCATCAGCCTTTCCCACTGCTTTCCACTTCTGTGGCACCAGTTCAGCCTCAGTTTTAGCAGCTCTCATAAGGACGCGTGCGTTGGCTCCTTCCACTTCTTGTAGTTGCCTTTCTCTCTCCATTCAACCAGCAACATGGCTCTAGACTGGCATTTTCTCTAAAAGATGTTTTTCACAAATAAACCTTTTCCTCAGACTGGGTTGTTCTTGAAAAATGAATTAGTTTTTGATAAGCCACTGTTTTCCAACCAGAGACCATTTCAGTGGTGTCTCCTCTTCCTCTCCCCTCTCTGGGAGGAGTTCAGTCACATGGCGTTTCATGGTTGCTAGCACAACTCTACTCATAGAACAGTAGTCATGAAGACAAAAAATACTAGGAAACAAACCCTAGGGCAGGCACAAACTAGTAGCTTAGCTCATTTCAGCAAATCCTACCTGGAATGGTGTTATCAAGGATAAACCCCAGGAGTCCACCCACAAACATGCCAGTGGTGAGAAGCACCTGGATCACCTGGTCCAGTTGGATGATTCCTAGCAGAAAAACAAAGCTTTGGATAGTGGTGCAGAGAGACATACATTTGACCAGCAACATACACTGTGCCAAGAAGCTGCTAGCTGCATGCTTGTTTAGACAAGACTTGCAAATCCCAAAGCAAAGCTTAAGATTTGGCAATGCAAGGGAGATTGATCTCACTGCCAGTTTCAGACCTACAGTTTTATTCTGCATAATTATTCACTGACCCAGCTGCCAGTGGGCAGGAGATGACTCGTAAGTACATTAAGAGCCTATTAACAGTACAGACCACAGCACTGTCCCAGAAAAAGCCACCTTCTGCTCCAAACGTTCTGCACCTCCATGACATAACACCAAGCAGTTCCCTACAAAAGCACGAGCTTCAGATCCCAAAGAAATATAGCTATATTTAGCATGGGATTTCACCACAACTTAATCAGGTGTGATGTTTCTCTGTGAGGGCTAATTGACATGTGAAAAACAGCCCAGTGACATAAAGCATCTGATAGACCATCTGTAGAGTGTGTGATTTGTGAGCCCAGCTCTTTCAACAGCCCACCCATGCCACATATACCTTAACAGAGGACACTACAGCCTTTGTGACAAACACATTAGTCACACGAGACACAATGAAAGCATAACTGTTGGAGGACTGGAAATTTCAATAAAGTGAACTTGATGGAATTTAGTAGAAGAGTCTGCTCTTGCATTTTGGAAGCACAAAGTTTTATTGTGTATGAGCATATAGGAAAGCCTCATTCATTGAGATCTGGATCAGGATTCAGCCCTGGAGTATTCTCCTGCCCAAAGCCCCATCCTGGGAATGTGTCCCAAGGAAGAGCTCTGCAATCCTTAGCCTGACAGGAATCTGGCGAGGTACAGTCACTGATTAAGAGCAGAGATTTCCACACCAGAGCTATGCATCAGAGCAAAGGACAAGAACAGCCCTCCCAGAAAGAAACAGGCAGCAGTCAAAGCACAGGTTTCAGGATTTTATCCAGAAAACCTGCATTTTAAAAGAGTTCTCTGGATCAGCCTTTGCTTTAGTTTCATGCTACAGAAAATGCTTCTGGTGCTGCTTCTTACCTGTTTCCAGCAGTGTACTATTTTTGCTTGCCCAGTTGGGAACTGTGAGGCCAGCAAATAGAGAAAATCCAAAGATAAAGATGTTTCTGGAGGAGTTCATATCTGTGTACTGCACAGAGAAATTGTATACATTATGTTTGGAATTACCCAAATCTGCGGATTACTGCTGTGTTCATGAGACATGCTGGGACATAACACTGCATGCAGGAGTGGACCTGGGCAGCAGCCCTGGTGCTGCTGGGGCATTAGTCGTCCTGCTGCCTCCGGTGCCAGCAAGCCCTGCCCCAAACAGGGAGCCCTCTGTGATTTAGCCCCTCTGGGTATGTGCCCTCATCTTCACCCAAGGAACTACCAACGCAAATGTTTGCATTTGCTGCAGCGTGGTTATATCTGACTCAGCCTGGTAAGAACCTGACTTGAAACCAAAGTCCTCTTCCCTAGGGGTGAAACAGCGCTCACACAGATGTTACCTGCAAATTGGAAATTCCCACTGCCGTGATAACTCCAAACATCACAAGGAACATGCCTCCAATCACGGGGGTGGGTATGCTGGCAAGCATCGCCCCCACTTTCCCGAAGATGCCACTCAGGAGCATGGCGCAGGCACCAGCAATGATCACCATTCGACTCCCTACCTGGGGCAAGAGGAAGAGGAGGCAGTCAAGCACTGACTGGTGCAGAGAGGCATGGGATGGCAGGCTTCAGCGCCAACCTGCTGGGCAGGGGCTGCACCTCAGGCCAAAGCACTCAATGGCGCAGTCAGTCACAAGTTCAGATGCTGGTGAGCTGGCACGCTCGCACTGGGCGGGAAGCATCTGTATTTGCAGACTAGTATATATTTATCATGAAAGGCACTCTGAGAGCAATCATGGATCCACACCTATTTACTTGATGTTATCTTCTTTCCTATTGTTATCAGGACTTTAACAGTTTGCTGTTAAACAAGAAGTTTATTATTAAATTATGAACACAGTAATACACACACACAGCTTTGCTCTTGCTCCAGCCTAGAAATATCTTGGCATACCCATGGGCTGGAGCTGCAACCACCCAGTCAGTTCACTGGACAATCCTTCTACCAGGGTTTGGATTGCCATCTAAAAATGGCTTTCAATTAGGTGTCCCACACTGATCCCTCAATTCCCTGGAGACCAAGATTTGGGAGAGCAGAGCTGGCCAGGCTGGCTGCTTCAATCCCAAGCTCTAGGATCTGATATATTCTTTCCATGGTCAACAAACAGCTAATAAGAAGCGAGGAAGTCTCTTGGTTTGCCCCTATCTCTCATCACCCATCTAGCTTCCACAAAACCATTTTTTTCTCATTTTTTTTCCACTAAGAAGAGCCAGGGTGGCCTTTTCTTTGTTGGGCGCTACAACAAAGATGGGATGAAGCACCAAGTCATCAGCACCATCATTCAGATCTGTTAGACCATGTGCATAGGAAGGAAAAAGAGTATCTGACAAACAAAGGGATGAAAGAGACATTTACAGATTATTGGAACTAAAAAGAAAAGCAGCAATATTTATTAGATTTTCAATCCAAGATACAACTTGCCACACAAAAACTTGGACAGCTTAAAGAATCATGCTAAGATTTACAACGTTCATGTCTTAGGCAGGGAAACTCTGTAATCCTCTGCAAACATTTTATAATTCAATTAAATATTTTAATCCCTCCCTTTAAATAGCTGAAGAATGTCATATTTCCAGAAAGGGCTTTTTGTGAATGCTTTCAACAAAAACATCCCCAGTAACTAGTAGTGTCTCTTTTTAAGTATTTCTTAAACGTGTCCCTTTAAAATATTTTGAGTCTTACTTGATTGTGAAAGATAAATGAAAAAGATTTGTTGGGGAGTTTAAAAATAAAATCATGCATTGCCTTCAGGTGGGATTTTTATATTCCTTGGCATAGAACCTTGGGACACCATTGCCATCAAAACTGTAATTTAATAAAAGCCAACAGATCTATTTGTTCCAGGATTAGAATGAAGCTTCAGATTCTTAATTTGCCAAAATGTCAAATTACCCAGTATATGGAGTTGGTCTTAAAGGCAAATTACCCAATCCACTGATACCACAACTGTGAGCATACACTGCTAAAGCCTCTGGTTCAGGGTTTGTTTCAATTATGTTAGGAAAACAAGAAAATCAGTTCTGTTTCTTAAGGTCAAAGAAACTGCACAGTGCCCTACTATCTATGTGGTGACTCTGAGGTCTTTACCCCCCCTTAAAATCCTCCTTTTCTTGAAAATGAGAGCTCAGTACTGGCATGCTGGGCTTGATCAAGCAGCTTAAACATAGGTGCCTGGTGCCATTTAAGATGTTCCATCTTGGCAGCTTCTGGCAGCTGCTCCTTTGCCTTATCTGACAGCCCCTGTGGATATCTGAGATATCCAAAGATGTTTCAGGTGGTGCTGGACACCTCTGTTTAAGCAGAGGAAACAAGTCTCTTGCATTTCCATTTATTATGGAAAAATGTGTTTCCCACATAAAAAAACGAAATGAAATCTGCCTTGTGTTCTCAGCAGTCCCATCTATCCCAGCCAGAGTCTTTACACTGATTTAAGGCTGACTGAGATGAGACTGTGTTTTTTTCTCAAGTGTGAACAAGGTCAGCAGAGGTGAGATCTAAGGGAAACGTCTCTCCTGAATCAGCAAGGATGGCATGTCCACCTGAAGGATTTAGCGTACATGGGGAGAACATCTGATAACTATGAGTCTGGGCACTTCTGCCCTATGCTACGTCCCATACATATAATGTGTGCAGCAAACTACATGTCAGGAAAGAACGAGCTCAGGTATAGGGTCAGTATGCACAGATTTCATAGTGACAAGGTACCTGGGGTGACAGGCTAAACTGGACTCCATGCAGACATCCAGACAGCCCTCGCTGCTGGAAGCAGCCACCTTGGTCAAACACTAATGTTTCAGTCTGTGAAAAATGGTTATTGTGAGTGAGGTTTATAAAATCCAGTGAAATAAGCCATATTATAGAGTGGGAGCCATAAGTCAAATTCTGCATTTCTTTACTGACTCACAGCTCTGCTGACATGACATTGCTTATTTGACAATGATTTAAAAATGTTCTCCAGTTGGCTGCTGGATGTACCCATCCCCTGGCTGTAAAGTTTAGTGAAAATCCATGATCTGATTGTCAGGCTTATCTCTGGAAATTTCTTTCCCTTATAAGAGCAATAAGATACTCGAGGGATTCACAAAACTTTATAGACAGGTAAAAGCATAAACCTTTGTCATCACATTTTATAATCCCAAAGAAATAGTCTGCCTTTCACATGATTGCCATCCTTGGGTTATAAAAATTCTAGAATTTGAAGCCCTATTAAATATTTTCTTTTCCCTTCCCTTCCCTTCCCTTCCCTTCCCTTCCCTTCCCTTCCCTTCCCTTCCCTTCCCTTCCCCCTTCCCTTCCCTTCCCCTTCCCCTTCCTCTTCCCCTTCCCCTTCCCCTCCCTTCTTTTTCCTTTTCCTTTCCTTTTTCCTTTTCCTTTCCTTTTTCCTTTTCCTTTTCCTTTCCTTTTCCTTTTCCTTTCCTTTTTCCTTTTCCTTTCCTTTTTCCTTTTCCTTTTCCTTTCCTTTTCCTTTTCCTTTCCTTTTTCCTTTTCCTTTCCTTTTTCCTTTTCCTTTTCCTTTCCTTTTCCTTTTCCTCTCCTTTTTCCTTTTCCTTTCCTTTTTCTTTTTCCTCTCCTCCCCTCTCGTATTTATAAATATGTTTAGGAAGACAGATAGACAGCCAGAGAGAGAGAGAGAGAGACAGACAGACAGATAGATAGTCTTTGATAAAGTCAGTCCCCAGGAAGTTTCCAGGTTAGCTCAGATGTAACATGCTCTCTTTAGTCTCACCTAAGCCAGGTGCCATGCACAATGGCAGCGTGCACTCATCCCATATGCAGACCATATGCAGAGAAAGAGAGGGACTGACACCCCGTGAGGTGACTCGTAGTGCTGCTGAGGTGCTCACCAATGTGCCAGGGCACATTTTTCCGGCGTGCCTTGCAGGAGGTGGGCTAAGATCACATCCCAGGTCTAGCACGTACCCATGTGCACCGCTCCTTTGTACATACACCCAGGGGGGAAACCTCCAGGAGGGGCAGGGCACCGCAGCCACCCTGCTGTGGTGAAGCTCACCTTAGTGATGCCCAGGGCCCCCACGTTCTCGCTGTACGACGTGGTGCCGTTCCCTGTCCCCCAGGCCCCGGCCAGCAGGCAGCCGATGCCTTCCACCCCGATCCCGCGGCTGATGGCATGCTTCGGCGGCAGCGGGGCCCCAGAGAGGCGGGCACAGGCATAGTAATCTCCCACGGACTCCAGCATGGAGGAAATCACCCCGGCTAAGATGCCAAATATCCCAGCCAGGCTGACGGTTGGCACTCCCCACTGGCCTGCAAGTAAAGAGCTCGGTTCAGATCAGGGGAGCACATTTGCCCTGAAATCTATTACAGAGGCGGGGAAGAACAGCAAGGGTGCTTGTGGGGGTTTGCCTGATTTTTGACATTTCGTCTCCCCTTGCTAGCCATAAGCGGAGGTGCAAGCCGGAGCAGGGAGCAGCACAGCGGGCTGGGGAAAGAGGGGGCAGTGGTACCTGGGTAAGGCAGCCGAAACCAGGGAGCCTGGGACAAAACATCCCCGCGGGTGTCCGTCCGGGCCAGGTGGCCATAGGCAGCGGGGTCTGCAGGGAGGACGTCGGTCACCGTCAGCACGTAGCAGAGCAGCCAGCTCAGGGAGAGCCCCAGCAGCACCTGCCCATCACACGCAGCAGTGGGGTCCGGTTAGGGCATGGCCGCGTCTCTGGCACGGTTGTGGGGGACAAGGTGTCTCCATGCCTGACCCTTTTCCCTGCACGTGGGATGGAGGCAGAGGGATGGCAGGGGGTCCTGGTGGCCCTTCCTCCCTTATTCCCTCCCCACATGCAGGGCCATGGGGACCTTCTCCCCCTGTGCCCTCTTGCTGCACAGGCTGGGCTGGGAAGCTCTGCTGGACACAAGTGGAAAGAGCCCAGACAGCCCAGGGTGGGTGAGGCCAGTACCTCTGCCATGACCACTGGGTCTCTGGGAACCCCGACGTACCGGAAAGATCTGGAAGAGGTAGACCGGGGAGAGGTGGCACTTCTTGCCTCTCTGGTAAGATGGCAGCGGCACAGGCACATCTTTCAGGTACTGAGAGAACAGAACTATGAAAGAAATAGTCCTAGGAGGAGGGAAAACCAGACCATGAGACAAAGTGGGTGCTGAGCTGCCCGCCTGCCCCCACATTAACCGAATACCTGCTACCCAAGGACCCAGGACTCCAGAGGACCCCAAAAAACAGGCTCTCAGCATGAGACTGTGGGTCCCCACTCCAGCAAGTCTCTGGTGGAACAAGCTTTCCATCATGCTCTACCGACAGCTCTGCTGCATTTGCTAATATTTTTTTTCCCCTTTTGTTTTTTCCCCCTTTTCCCCCTTTCAAAACTGACCCCCAAGATGGTGCATCACTGAGTATGACACAGTTGCCAGAGCTTAAAAATGACACTTGAGTAAAAGAAAAACCTGAGACGTGTGCAAGCTCCAGGCAAGCTACGTAGGAAACTGTCCCTGAACCTCTGTGTAATTCAGATATACTGGAAATGTATTCTCAAAGGAGAAAGAGAGTCTTCGCACAGGAGCTTGCGGGGCTCATTGACAGGGCTTTAAACTAGATGTGAAGGGGGAGGGGGAACACATCAGGCTTGCCTGTGACAAGCTGTGGGATGGTACGCAATGGTTAGAGGGACGGGGTGCTACTGTGAGCCCTCAACCTGTTGCCCAGAGGCATGATGGGGATGCTGCAGCACAGTGGAAGTCTTTCAGAGACGAGCCGGGGGCTCCTGAGATAGTTAGAGCTCACAAGGAAACCTTCGTGAAACACCCCGAGGGAAACAAGGGATGTTCCACTAAGAAGGTGACACGGCCAACAGCCCAGATGAAATGCCTCTACACAAACGGACACAGCATGGGGAACAAACACGAGGAGCTGGAAGCTGCTGTGCTACTAGACAGCTACGACCTGATTGACATAAACGAAACCTGGTGGGACGAATCCCATGACTGGAATGTGGCTATTGATGGCTACAGGCTGTTCAGAAGGGACAGGTGAGGAAGGAGGGGCGGAGGCGTTGCCCTCTACGTAAAGAAATCAATACAGTGTGAAGAGCTGTCCCTGAAGAATAGCCACGAGCAGGGCAAAAGCTTATGGGTAAGAGTCAGAGACAGAGGCAACAAAGGGAACCTTGTGGTTGGTGTCTACTACAGGCCGCCTGATCAAGGGGAGCCTGCTGACGAAGCCTTCTTCCGCCAGCTCTGGGAGGCTTTGCGCTTGCACACTCTTGTCCTGCTGGGGGACTTCAGCCACCCCGACATTTGCTGGAAAAGCAACACGGCGAGCTGTAGGCAATCCAGGAGATTCCTGGAATGCATAGACGACAACTTCCTAAGCCAGGTAATAGACACCCCTACCCGAGGGGACGCGATACTGGATCTGATGGTCACCAATGCAGCCGAGCTCATCGGTGATGTCAAGACTGGAGGCAGCTTGGGCTG